AGCAAATCAAAACGTCACAATGGACAATGCAAGTATTTGTACCTCCGCTTTTACCAAATCATCAACACTACATCACAAACACTACAACAAGAAGGAATGCTATTGAGACTCTATCGCCGCCAATAGTCTTACTTCAACACATAGAAAGGCTTATCCTTTCTAATAATTCACGGAAAGGGGATGCTGCTACGCAGTCTTACACAACAACAGAAATATCCAAGGAAACACAAATCCAGGTCACATGCCTGTACGTCCTATATGATATTTCAACAACACAATACTCAAATCACCAACTAATACGTTTTAGACCATCAACATATCTCCACTACATCTGACCACACAAAGACACGGAAAGACACAAAACTAACAGACAGAAAAAACATCACAATACTTTCGCTATGTATTCTCAACAAATGGGCCTTAGCCAGGAATACACGAAGTCGTATCATCACTCTCTTCTACTTGTACACAAAAAAAGAACTAGGGAGAAACACAAGACTAATAGACAAAAGAAAAATAACAATACTCCGCTTTGTCACTAACAAATCGGCCTTAGCCAAGGACAAACGGAATTGTATCATCATTTCCTTCTACTTATAACGCAGAATAGGCACAAAGAAAACACGGGGACACACGGAAATAACAAACATAAGGCAAATAACAATACTTCGCTTTGTCACTAACAAATCGGCCTTAGCCATGGACAAACGAAATCGTATTATTACTTCCTCCTACTTATAAAACAAAAAACAACTCGAAAACATACGGACTGAACATGGACTGTAAAATCAGAAGCATTTTCCTTTTCGGGGCTTAAAAAAATTTCACACATTGCCTGGACTATTAAACTTTAAAAATACGAAAAAATTTGACCTATATTTTTCGTACAACAGCTGATTATAAGAAACGCAATAAATTGCCAAACACTCAATAAGAAGACGAAATAAATTGACTTAACACTTAAAGAAAGGACAGCGTCTACATACGAAATAAATTATTTCGTTAACGTAAACAAAATTCTTTTCTCAAACATGAGATACTTAAGACGAACTAAGAATAAACAAAATTGATATCGTTCACATTTTAAATACCGGCAAATAAGGAATGACATCATTCCAAATACGTATTTTTTAATTCACAAGGAAATAGACGAAAATTATTTCTACATAATTTACGAAAACTGGACATAGAAGAAAATGGAAATCGTAGCAGTTAACTTGGGACAGGAATAGACTTGATTTAACGGAACACTGGATAAAGCAAATCACAATACAACTGAATATACCATTCGAAGCAAACTCAACGAACTTCACATACAGGGGGGAACAAAAATACTAAAACAAAGTTTGGGTGAAAGCAAATACACAATGTATACAAAACAACATACTCGATAAACTTCACATACAGAGTGATACAAAAATACTAATATTATTGACAACTTGACTTTTGAGTGAGCTACACAAAATAACACAACATAAAAAACCTTGCTCTTGTTCTGAAAACTAAATGAGACTGCTCCTAGGCAAAACTAAACAGCACCTCCGATCACGAGTATAACACTTGTCATCATTCAGATACAAGACAGGAAACACAAAAGGGGACTCAGGGGAACACAATCTTCTATTTAACCCGTGGCATTACATACGCCGTCAAAGCTGGTTAATTAGGGAACAACAGGGGACAGGGGACTACTCTTCACATTCACAATCTCCTACTAGCCCGTGGCATAACACAAACGCCGTCAGAGAGGGCCTAGAAGAAACAATGAAATGTCTTAGGACAAGGGACAAACAACAAAACACAACTATACTCATCAGCTCAAAGAAAAGTCACTCAAACAATAAACACATTTACTCAAAATGACCAGACAAAACAAAATTACAAAAACCGATTTTTCTGTAAGAAATGTCAAATCAATCAAAAATAAATGGCACAATAACGGTACACTTAATTTGTTACTGTAAACAACTTAAAATTCAATATTCAATCTCAAAATATTTGCTTTCATTTACCAATACACATAAAATACATATAGAAAACTTTCTACAGTACACAAAATAAAAAAAAACAACATTACATATGTCAATATATAACAAATACATCTGTCGATATACAATAATACATATGTTAATACAAATACCACACAAAGAAAAAACAACAATACATATGTTGATACAAATACATAAACAAACTGTTTGTGGGACAGCGGGGCACTACACGAAAGACGGGGTTTCACATAAATGACAGAAAACTAGGGAAGAACTGAAAAAGATATGTGGCTTGGGAAAAGGGACAAATTCTAAAAAAAATTAGGAATATTCAACAGCCCCTCGGTTGGGCACCATTTTTGTAACGATATATTTTGCCTACCACAGGGGCATTAATATAGGGGATAGAAAATTGGGGGAAGAAACTAAGGGGGTGGAGATAGGGTAAGCAAAATAATCGCTACTGATGCGAACGGACACTCAGGGTTTCGCAGGAGAGCTGGGGTCGTGGATAAGTAAAATGGGGGTTAGAATGGGGCAACTACAACAAAAAGAAATAAAAGGCTTTTGGGATAAACAGAATAAAAATCAACAAGAAAACACCTCAAGAAATTTGATTATAGGGCGCCACTTGAGGTGCCTAATTATGCCTATTACAACCACTAGTTGTAACTAGGGAAATAATTAGAAAATAAAATCAAAACATATCTTTTTCAAATAAAAATCAATAAAGGTTAGCTCAAAAAAATAAATAAAAAGTTAAGACAACAAAATTTAACCTTTATTTATGTCACCACAAACAGTTATAAGGAGGAATACAAAAATATTCAACAGTCACCAAATACACAAATATCAAAACTTATGGTTATGTATGTATGTCGAGAAAGGATAATACTAACTGTCATATATCGAAATGAAATATTAAACCTTTTTGAAACATTAATTTTAATTATAGCAGTCAACTTTATTTAAAAGAAAACTAATAGGACAATTAGCTACTCCATAAAATTTATAATTTCATTTACTTACAATTTTTTAGTTTGTCATCAAAGCAAATTTTTTTATTATTGAAAAATTATTTATTTTTACTTTGAAAAGTAACTTTTAATTTTAAAAGTACCTGGTATCACTGACTGATGTATTTCCTTTAAGAAAATTTTGGAATCGGAATTGAACCAAAACACTGCAAAATATACAACTGTGTCCCACTTAAGCTGCAATTCAGTCTGAAGTGACTTATGAACACAAATAGACAATTCTTTGGAAGTTGGCCACTGGAATCGGGCTTCGGATCATCCTGAATGACAAAAAACTGCAATCTTCAAAACTCGCCCACTCAATTTCCTCCCAAAATCATGTGAACCTCTTAAACGGCTGGAAACGCCGTTTTACAAATCTCTCAGATAAAACACCAGCACGAACAAATCGGTGGTTAACTCAACAAAAAAACTGCCAGATCGCATTTTGAGTAAAAATTCACTTTTCAAATTGAAAAAAATCCGGCTTGGAAGACTACACCCGCAAGCTATTCCGAAACTCAATTCCAAAACTTGACTGTTTTCTTTGTCTCGGTTTACTCCACACTGCTACTATTTACACATTTTTTCATAACAAAAATGCAATAACGAATTTAAAGAAAATCCGGACTAAACAATGAAACCGACTGACTTTGGCAGCGATTCCACCGAGAGTGACGAAATTAAAAATTTGTTCGCTTAACTTGAAAATCAACGAACTGCTGAAATAGCAAAAACCAACTAACGACGTAGATATCCTTTGAAACGCATTTACATGAAAAGAAATCGCCGCAGTAAAATAAACAACAATTAAATGGATTTATTACTCTACGACGTTAGAATGATTGAAAACACTTTTCGAAAGATACGAACTAAAAAACAGAAAACATTCTTCGTTTTATTAAGACGATTTCATATACGAGGCGACTTTAAATATACTTCAAAGAATCAATCAAATTTAAAATGCTACAATATAAGATTCTAATTTCTCTATTTTTATAGCTCTGTTCTATACATTTTAATTTATCTTCATTGTATTTTCTTTTCTTTGATCTTATTATTCTTTTGGCTCTTTTCCTTTGTTCATTGTATTTTCTCTCAATCTTTGTTGTTTTTTCTTTCATCATTTTCATTGTTAATTTATTTCGTTCATCTAGTTCCATTTTACATTCATCGTCGAACCATTCTTTGTATTCGTGTTTTATATTTCCATTACTGGCCTGAGCTGCTTTGGTCATACATACTTTTATTTGCATCCATGTTTGTTCAATATCCCCACTTTCTGCAATATTATCTAATCTTCTACTGACTATTCTTTCATATTTATTTTGTTCCTCTTGTGTCAGTAGTCTCACAGGTTTGGTTGCTTTATACTTTTTCTTCCTCTGGTTTCTAAGCACTGGAATAAGTTGTTTCATTTGTATTCCAACTATAAAGTGATCTAAGTCTGCATCTGGACCTCTGTATGTTCTTATGTTCTTTATACATTTTTGCATATTTTTTTCGACAAGCATATGATCAATTTGGTTTATGGTTTTCCCATCCGGTGATCTCCACGTTCCTTGGTGTATTCTTTTGTGTTGGAAGTACGTGCTCATTTTGAAGTTGTTGTACGTTGTTCTTTTTGAAGAGAAACATAATTCTCGTGTTTTATTAATGAGACTGCTGATTGAAGAAACAAACATTTTTACATATAATAAAAAGAAGCCAAGTCAAGGAAAAGTTCGGGGGTAGATACCGTAGAATCATGTATTTTACAGAAATAAGATAAATCCGCGAGATTTGGCACCGCGGTGGACGAGGAACGCACATTCGGATTACGAGACAGCGTATCGCGCCGTGCTGGAGCTCGGTCGAGCGGCCAACGACAAAATCGTAATCAAACAAATACCGCCGCCGTCGCCGTGGTGCTCCTCGTAGCTCGTAGCCGTAGCCCTCCTCCTCGTAGCGTAGTATGATCGTGGATTCCGTTGAAGGCGCGCACGCCGTTTACTACCGCGGGCGGTGAACGACATCAGCTGGCGAGGTTATAGTGCAACCGTGGAATCTCGGCGATTTATTGTTGCTTTGTGAAGTTAAACGTTTTCTTATAGGCACATGGATACAAACACCACCTCGAGAACTTCGACAATTCCGCAAAAGGTAACAAGCTTGATCATTCACACCATCCATCAACCACCTGCTTCTAAAAATATAAACAAGCGCTGATGATTGGACTGGTCCATTTCTATGGGTACATTCATTAGATTAGTTCCACGTATTTGCTACAGTAGCCTCTGTGTTATCAACCGTTCTACGGAAAACATTCACAGGGCGTTCCAAACGCATATAGGAAACTGATAAGTCAACTGTGACAAAACTAGTTTGCTTGTTTATGCAGCTAACAGTCATTCTGATTTATAAACATCTATAATCAAATCATTATGCGTTTTGAACTCGTTGTCCCCCTAAAGTATTTTGCAATAATTTAAATATTTGCTTGATATATTTATAATAATCTGTGTAACAACAGATAAGATGCCATTTACTTAAAATTAAGTGAAATGTATGTCAACAAGTAAATTATTTTTACTACGTACGCATGTTATTTTTAAATTTGCGGTTTTAAAATATGTAAATATGTGTATCAGCTTATATAATTTTGTAGACGTTGATGGATTTCGCTACGGAAACATTCGCAAAAGTTGTTGCTGTAGCTTCTACCTAAATGTTTCGATACTTTACATATGCTTACGTAAGTTTTCATCATGCAAGGTTAACAGACACAGCTGAATGTAGTTGATTATCTCTCTCGCTGTCTGTTTCCTGTGACTTCTCCGGCAAAAGAGGACACAGCAGGATTTTTGTTTGGCAGTTGAGGGAGTCTTGAGCCATACAGTGGCTACCAGTTAAGTGTCTCATTCAGGCGCAAAATATATTACAGTGTATCTTTTGTAAATTTTCATTTGTTTCCTGTTTGGAGAATCCATTCATGGTTAAAAGCTATTCAATCCTAACTTGGTCTATCTAGTCGTAGACATTGGTTCCCTATAAAATAAAAACATTTATTGGCCTACTAATATATACAATGCATAGATATTTACATATCAGTGCTCATTTCTTCTTCTGTCAACGTTGAGCTTGTGCACCTCTCACTTTGTGGGACCACTCTTCGGGTACCTGGTTTTCTGTGTTTCTGGATTTATGGACGTCTTTTAATCTAGGTACTAGTTTTGATACCATACCTACTTCCCTGCTTGGCTGTCTTCAGTAAGCACCTGTCTAGACCCCCAGTAGATAGTCAACCAGTTCTGTGGAGGATGTCTCTGGTATCAAGAAATCTTATCGTGGCCTGGTGGAAGAGTATCTTTTTATGTTCACCACCTCTCTCAGTGGTATGTAGTGGATATTTGCTAATTAACCTCTTGATCAAAACCTATTTACTTGGCAGACTTTGGCGACAAATAAGATGTATGATTTTTTTCCAAAAACGTTCACTACGACAAAGTTATGAGTAAAATATTTGGTACATGAATGTCTTGCTCTTCATCGTTATCGGAAAAATGAATGTCACAAGAATCAATACTTTCTTGATAGGAGAGGGCTACTGATTCATCAGATGATGATTTGTCGAAAATTTTCCTTTTGGTAGCACGAACTTTAGCACTTTGAGATTTGATCTTTTGATTTTTCAGTAATGCTTTCTTCTCCTTCTCTTTTTCTGCTTCCTATTTTTCTTCTTGTCCTTCCTAAAGTCGCACCTTATTAGGTGTCGATGTTAGTAAGGTTGATTTCAAACTTTTCTCGTTTCGTTTCCTTTTTATCTTAAATTTGAGGAAGGGCATAATGTCTGAAGGTGAAATTACTGACCGTTCTGATTTTGATGACGGCTGGGGCTCTATCGCATCAGTAACAAGTTCTTTGTCTTCTTGCTGAAACTAAATAAAAAAATGACCTCCATGGTCTGAATATTTATCTAAATCTTGCCCGGTTACTTCCGCTGGTATTAAATCTACGTCCGAAAAAATATTTTTATCTAGTGGGTAGAGTTCTGTAGACCGAAAGCCCTCTCTTGCTATATCTACAGTAGCAATTTTTGCAAATGCTGTAAAAAAGAGAACAGCCACATGGTAAATGGAGAGAAACTGTCCTGGATGGGAACTGGTCTCAGCCATCTAAGCAGTGGCCCATCAACACCCATTTTTTTAAAATTAACTATTAAAATATTATGGTTGACCCGATCAAAGGCCTTGGAGAAATCAGTGTATAGTGCATGTGCCCCACAGCCCCTCTCCATGGCCTTTCTCGGGAAGTCCACAAACACTAGTATATTGCATTCAGTTGATCTGCTATTCCGAAATCCAAATTGTTGGTCTGCTAGCTGTTTTTCAAGTGAAGCTTTAAGATAGTCACATACAAAACATTCAAATATCTTTGGTATTATACTAATGGGCCTGTAATTATTCACCAATGAATTATCTCGTGCTTTAAAAAAAAAGGTGTTAAAAAACGATTTTTCCAGCATTCTGGAAATTTACCCTTATTTAAGGATAGATTAAAAATGTGAAGAAGAGGTCTGGATAATATAAAACAGCAATTCTTAAGAAAGCTTTATTGAGAGTAAACTTAATGTTTATTAAGACTAAATACTTACCATGTAGGGATAGTATTATGAGGTTTTTTTCTTTATGGAATCACTAACAGGGAAGCTTTAGTGTCATCATTACATGTGTTTGGTGTGGAAACTCTCATTATCATCATCATCATCATCATCATCCAGCCTCTATTTATCACGTCCACTGCTGGACATAGGCCTCCCTTACTCCTTCATTCCTCACGATTTTGTGCTCTTTGTTGCCAATTTTTAGTGATACGCCTGATGTCGTCGGCCCAACGTGTAGGTGGTCTTCCTCTACTGCGTTTGTGTGCTCTTGGCCTCCAATTTGTAATTTTGCTCGTCCATCGTGAATCGTGCATTCTCGCTACATGGCCTGCCCAGTTCCATTTTAGTTCCGCTATCCGTTCCACAACATCAGTAATACTCGTCCTTCTTCGCAGATCTTCGTTTCTTATTCGGTCCCTCAACGTCACTCCCAGCATAGACCGTTCCATTCGTCTCTGTGCCACTCTCAGTTTCGAAGCCGTGGTCTTGGTTAAAGTCATAGTTTCCGCCCCATAGGTCATGACCGGTAATACGCATTGGTCAAACACTTTTCTTTTGAGGCTGATTGGTCTGTTGGCCCTAAGTGTGTCTCGCAGTTTTCCAAAGGCTGCCCATGTTAGAGTAATTCGTCTTTGGATCTCACATGTTTGGTTATCCCTGCTGATTCTTATTTCATGACCCAAATACGTATATTTCTCCACCAGTTCTACCACTTTGTCTTGAATAGTCAAATGGTTATTGGGAACCAAATTTGTCATAAACTTAGTTTTGGTCAAGTTCATTCTCAGGCCCACCTTCGAACATGCAAAATCCAATTCGTTTATCATATCTGTAGCTTCTCCTAAATTATCTGTGATAAGGACAATGTCATCTGCGAAACGGAGATGGTTAAGCTTTTCGCCGTCTATCGTTACTCCTCTGTGGTCCCAATTGATCATCTTAAAGGCATATTCTAATGCCGTTATGAATAATTTCGGCGACAATGTATCTCCTTGCCTTATTCCACGATTTATTTTTATTGGTCGGGTTTTATTGTCTATTTTAACAGTCATAGTGGCATTTTTGTAAATATTATAAATAAGCTCACTATACCTATGGTCAATCCTGCTGTCATTCATTGCTTCTATAAGGCTGTCTAAATCGATCGTGTCGAACGCTTTATGAAAATCTATGAAAGTGAGAACAAGAGGTTTGTTATATTCTATAGATTTTTCAATGAGTGTTTTTACTGTGTGGAGGTGATCATTGGTACCATAATTTGAGCGTAATCCTGCCTGCTCTCTCGGTTGGTAGAAATCTAATTTTTTCTCCAATCTTGATGTCACTACCCTAGTGAAGAGCTTGTATATGTGGTTCAACAGGCTAATAGGTCTATAATTTTCTAGGTCCGTTCTATCTCCTTTTTTATGCAAAAGGATAGTTGTAGCATTGTTCCACTCTTTGGGCACCTCTCTTTGCTGCAAACATAGATTGAATAGTTTCCTTAATTTATTTAATAGCATATCTCCTCCATTTGCGATAGCTTCTATTACGATTCCATCCTCTCCTGGGGCTTTGTTATTTTTCATTTTTCTTAATGCTTGTCGAATCTCATCTAGCTTTATCTCTGGTATTAGTTCGGAACCTTGATTCTTGATCTTCTTTGAAATGGCTGTTTGTATTCCTGTTTTATCTTCTCGTCTACTTCTATATAAGTCCTCGTAAAACTCTTCGACGACCTGTATTAACTCGTCTCTACGTGATATTATTTCATTTTGCTTGTTTCTTAATTTATGAATTTCGCATTTCCCATTCGTTAGCTTTCTACGTAGAACTTTTAGGCTGTTATTTTCCTCTATAGTGCGTTTAATATAATCGGTATTAAATTTCCTTAAATCTCTCCTAATTGCTTTCGAAACAGTTTTGTTCATTTTTCTTAAAGTGTTGCTATCTACATTTTTATCGCTGCTCATTTGTCTTCTTTGATCCAAGAGCGTTTCAGTATATGGACTTATTTTACTATCTGATTTTCTTTTAGGACAGTGCACTCGGTGACTTTCTTGTAAGGCGTTTATGATGCAGTTATTCAAGTCGTTAATATCGTTAGCGGAGATTTGCTGCAATAGAAGCTTATTATTGATATGTGTCTGATATTGGTTGATATCTAATGGGGGTGTCTAGATACCATGAAATTTATTTTTAATCATTATATTCCTTTCTCTTTTTATATTGATTTGAACTTTCGCTCGTATCATCCTGTGGTCGCTGTTTGTGATGAACTTGTTGAGTACTGTTACATCTTTAATTATTTGTTGTGGAAACTCTATCACTCCCTTATTCTTTTAATTTTTCTTAACTATAAGCCAAAGTTTTGTTCAGTATCCAAATATTTATTAAACTAGTTCCAAAAGCAACACTTTTTACGTAGCATTGTATTATTCAGAGGTAACAACAATAACCCAATGTGGTTTTTTAGGTGACCCCAAATCGTACACGTATCAGTTTTTCACTAAATTGTTGG